GATCTTAATGCAAATCGGTTCAACGGTGTTTTCAGATACACACGCCCCTGGCTCTGTCTTCTGCCTCCAGGAGCCTTTAACAATCCTGTCTTTTAAAATACTTCCCATCTCACTATTGTCCTTTCTTTTTCTTCCTTAAAATAATTGCCACATTTTAAAGGGGGTGCGAGGTACGCATCGTTTTCTGGCAGTTGAATTCTGTTCAGTTGAGTTTCCATTTATTCCCCCCACTTCACCAAAGTACTATTACTTGCTTTATTCATCAACGGGTTGGATTCTAATCAGATTTGAATTTCTTGAAAAAAATAATTTGGTTTGTGCCTGTAATTTTACAAACACTAGCATGTAGCACTTGACAGAGGGTAAGTGCGCTAGAAACGTTAGATGGTAATTCAGTTAGGGAATAAAACTTTAAAATATCGAAATTGTGGAGACTTGCTAAGAGCCCCAGCAGTTTGCTACACTGTTTTTCCTAGTTTGCTTGTTTTTCAGTAATTGTATTTTGTGGTTTTGACAGAAGGAATCCTATAGTCATTTCTATAAGAATTCCCTTTAAAGAGTTAATTTGGGGGGAGGTAATAAGCCCTTTTTCTTCTTTACCCCAGCAATGGCTTATTTAGCCACTCAGGCACAATATATTATGCACATTTGCAGTGCAGATGCTAGAATTAAATTTTTACACAATGTAACCTGATAGCTGGGGTAAGTTTTTCCTGGCAAGCAGACAATAAATAATGTCGGGCTGCTTACCTTGAGTCAAGTGACTTGCCCCTGATTTAATCTTTAAATCAGTTCAGTAGTGGTTAAAGAATGTTTATCTTTGTTGTCAGACAGTCCTGGATTCGACATCTACTTTATCACTTTTAATCATTTGTCTGTGAGTAAATACCTTAAACCTCAAACTCTTCATCTAGAAAACAAGAATAAAATACCTACCTTAAAGAAATGTTTTGACAATCAAATAGGATAATGCATGTAATGTATTCAGTAGAATGAGTAGTACTTATTATGCTCAGTATGAGGCTGTAGTTATAAGAAAATTAATACTTAAGCTGTATTCCCTGGATTTCCAGGGTATTGCTCTTATATTTTTCATATAGACAAATGACTCACCAAGCGACTTCTCTTACTTGATTCTGTAAACCACCACAACCACAGCATTTTTTTTTAAAGATTTATTTATTTATTCATACAGAGCTGGGGTATATGGGAGGTGAGAGGATTGACCAGAGACAGAGTGGGGAGCAGAACAGGTCGACTGATGAAGTACACTGCTGAGGGGAGCAGCGGGCGGGTCAGGAGAGGTCTGCTGCACCCTGTGGGTCACCTCCGGGACGGGATTGAACTCATGCTGAAGTGGCTTTCACTTCTCAGTGCTGTGCTTTAACTCACTGCGCCACCAGGGAGGGCCCCCACAGCTCTTTTTATTACCTCCAGAAAGAAGGAATTATTTCATATGTTTATAGCTTTACTGTCTACTTACAAAAAGTAAAGCCCTAGACATCCTATTTAAGTATGAGTTCTGGTGTGAAATTTTTCATATTGATGGAGTCCTTATAAAAACTCATTGAAGGATTTTGCAGTATGAGTTTAGTTTCTCCTCATTTCCTCTCCTTTCCTGTCACTTGCCATTCCCTAAAGTGGCCCATATTTTAATTTGCTTTACATTCTTTTCCTCTTGCTTGCCATGAAAAGTCTCATTCTCTTAGTATAGCTAGGTGAAGAACAAAATTAAATACGACCTCAAGGTAGGATTTGACCAGGAATGTGTGATCGATAATTTCACTCTGATTCCTGCTCAATATTTTTCTTGGCAGAGTTTGCCTGTTAACCTCAATGACTCAATTTAGGGAATTTCAGGCATTTCCTTCTCTTTCCATTCCCAAGTTTTATATGAAATATCCTGACATACACATTTTACTTTAACTCTTGGAAACGTAGCATCTGAATTGAGGTATGTTATATAAGTATATAAACAGACAACAAATTTTGAAAGTTTAGTATGAAAATAAAATATAAAACCTCAAGATTACATATTAAAATGATACATCTGAGTTACATAAATATTAAAACTAAATTCATAAATATACTGAGTAAAATAAATATTAAAACGAAGTTCACTTCTTTATTTTTACTTTTAAATGTAGCTTTAAAATACAAAATTACAATATGTGACTCCTGTTATATTTGGACAGTGTTGATCTAGCCCTGCTATATCCAAACTTATTTTCCATTCCTTCCTTCAGCAGGAAAGTCTCTTGAGGGTCAGAAAACAGACTGTACATAATTCCTTGAGCATCAAGGAAGGCATGGCTGCTTGGGTCACTGTGAGTTCTGGATTCAGAGGTTCTCATTAGGGTCTTAGAGTAGTTTTCTGCTTTGTTTATTCATACTTCCATTTCCTGTTACTTTGTAGCTACTTTGACTACAAAAGTAACCCTAATTGTAATTATGTGATCTTATCACCACCAAACATAGTAATGATTATGCATATTGTTAAATATTGATGAGTTAACTTTTTTCAGATTTTATTGGATTTTAACTCTGTGCACTCATGTACAATATAGTCAACCAGTCAAATAGCAGTCATGCTCTCATTATTTTAAAAATTAGAGTGATTAATAGAATTCATCAAAGCACATATTCAGACGTTTCTTTGTTAGAATTGTTTTTAACTTTTTGATAATTACCAATAAATGCTTGTATAAGTGGATTTTTATATATATCAAGGAATTTATAAGTGGCAGTGTTTCGTGTGTGTGTGTGTGCGCGAGTTTGCTTTTTAATATAGTACTTGATTTTAATAATAATTCAGTTTTGGAAATATAGTTTATATAGAATTATGTCATTACAAGCAGAACAAAAAAATCAACAAAAATAATACCAGAAATAGGTTATAAACCCAGCGTAGTTTCTATAATTAGTTTTCAGACTTCATTTTGAATTCCCTAGTAGTCAAAGCAAAATAATATATGGAATCTTATTATTCTGGAAGGGAAAGTTATCCAAGGAAACATAATATTACTTAGCACTGATTCTAGAAACAATTCTCATGTGAGTCCATCACAAGAATTAATATTATAATAGGAAGTTCAATAACATTTAATATGATTGCATTTCATATGTCATCAAATTCACTGTTTTTATATACAGATGAAAGAGTGTCATAAATAAATAATTGTATGTTTTATTTTTCCAGGAATCTTGGGAAACCAAAATGAGGCATAATCAGCTATGTTGTGAGACACCTCCTACTGTCACTGTTCACGTAAAATCAGGGTCCAATAGATCACATCAACCTAAAAAATCCATTAATCTGAAGCGTCCTATTTTTAAAGATAGTTGGCCAGCATCTGAAAAAAATGCACATAATAGCAAGTCTAAACGCCCCAAAGGACCCTGTCTAGTTATACAGCGTCAGGAAATGACTGCTTTCTTTAAATTGTTTGGTAGGTTTAAAATACTGTAATGGTAATTATAAAGTTCTTTAAATTTGAGAATGTAAAGATCTGTTTTATGATTCTCATAATAATCAGAGAGGATGCTGTTATTTTCTTTGCCAGCTTTTCATCTCAAGTCAAATTTGTTTTCACTTAGTCTTTTTGTTAATGTTGGGGTTTTGTTTTCATTACTCTTGGATTAAAAATTCAGATTCACTTAGCCTCTAGACTACTTAAATTCATTTGTCCAGCTGTCAAATGTAAATTCTAGGCAACTTTGTATCAAAGTAAAATACTACATACAATCCCAGGTAAGTCACCTGACCACAGTTTGATTGGACCAGAGGGGTTTTCTAGAACTTTCACTGCTAAGACTGAGCAGCTCTTCTCCCACCTATGACTATGCAAGTGCCTATCTTTTCGTCTCTCCTTTTCCTAATAAACCTGTACTTTTAAAATGTAAAAAAAAAAAAAAACAAGCAAAAACAGTAAACTTGGAAAATCAATCTAAAGAAGTTTCATTAATTACAATAGGGAAAATTATATCTTATCAGACTCATAATGAAAATGATGTTAAATTTGTTCAGATCATGAAATGATGATACGTTGCTGATAAATTTCTTTTTAAAAAATAGCCAGAAAGAAACTTCTTTAAAGTACTTGGCCTTGGCCAAAGAGAGAAGGGATTTTATTTTTTTAAGTAGGACAATAAGGTAGATAAATTAGAAAAATGGTAGAATAGCTGGGTCCTGCTAATTATGAGAATGGATCAAGTCAACTAGATGGATCCAGGTAACAGTCCCTTGTTTATATAGGGAGGCAGAAGTGTATAAGATGAGATAGTTGGGGAGAAGAGAGTTTATTCTGCTAGGATTACAGAAATCTTAAAAATAACAAAGTTGGGCACAAGCTGTTTAATATTTTAAAGAAATCCAAACAAGAAAATGAGATAAGAAAAAAATGTAAGTCAGGGTCTACAATGCTGTTAATACAATGTTCTCTTTGTTAAGAGTAGAACAAAATTATTCCTCACAAAATTACTATGCACAGTTAATTATAACTGATAATGGAGATATAAGAGAAAATACCTGGCATTATCATTTTAAGTAATTTAACAAATATAAAAGGAGTTAACAAGAAAAAAATTAATTATTCTCAAAAAATCAGTACTTATTTTGGAATTATCCATATATTGCTATTTCTAGGATATAAGAGTTGATATAAAGAAATAATGCTTTTATCACTTACTTTTAAGTAAAGGGAAGAAATAGAAAAAAATTCTCATTATATTCTGACAACTGATATTTTCAGATTATATATTTTAGCCTTTTAAAATTGAAATAAATGTTTTTGAGCTATTTATTGTTACTACTTTTAATAATACTTAGATCTTTTTGTCATAATACTCAGTTTTTCCAAGTTAAATGTTAATGAAGTAGGAATATTCTTTATGAAGACATCTCTGTGTGTATTTGGATATTATATAAATTTAGATAATTTATAGATAAATTTGAGGATAAGGGAAGAATCCAAAATTAAAATTACCCTGGGAAACTAAAAGGTGTAACTGGTAAAAAAAAAAAAAAAAAAACACCCAGAAAACATAATATTCATCAAGTCATTATTTCTGAGTTATCTTTTATTAGGTTTGGTTTCCACCTACTAAGGAATGGATTTTGGAGAGAACTAATCTATAATCTAGAGTTACCCAAAAAATATTTTTCAAAGAGATTTTGGTATATCCAATTAAGTAATTCCTTCTACTATTCCTTCTCCAGACTGAGCAATGTACTAAGCCAAACAGGAGTTAAGGCAATTAAGGCAGATACTGAAACTGGATGATAAGGCCATAGCTCTTTGAACAGAATTGCCAGTGATAGATATACCGAAGAACCCTAATTTAGCCATTCTTGCTTAACTTCTAAGCATCATTTATAATCTTATATAGACATTCATTCTTCAAAAAAGAAGCATTCTATTTTAAAATACAAGTCATAGCTATCTTTTGTTATAGATGACGATTTAATTCAAGATTTCTTATGGATGGACTGCTGCTGTAAAATTGCAGACAAGGTAAATTTGGAAACAATATAATCATTAACCAGGATCCTTATGTTTCTGTGCCATCAGAACTTTCATTCAACTATACAAGAATTTCTATTAAAGTTAGGAAAGGAGACTTCATTGCTTCTAAAGCAAAATCCAGGGACCCTCCCTGCTGGCACACAGGTTCAAGTATCATCAAGCTATCAAACTGTTATCAGCCATTGTGGCCTGAGTTCTATCCCCAGCCAAGGAGCTCGCCCACATAGCATAGCATACTTCTCCTGTCTCATCTACTGCTCCCCTCAGCAGTGTATTTCAGTAGATCTGCCCGTTGTGCTCCCCACTCTGTCTCTGGTGAACCTTCTTACTGTTTCCCTCCCATCCCTCTCTGGCCTACACCACAGCTCTTCTATACAAAAATAAAACAATTTAAATAAATAAAAATTCAGCAAGATTTAATGTGCCAATCAACAGAAAATGGAATGAATAGAACACTGGCTTGTGATTAAATACTAAATTAATTTTGGAGTTACCATTTTTATTTCAAGTTTAATGAATATGAAAAAGATAAAATTGGAGGTTTTTTAATTTTGGAAAGTTAATTTTGGGAAATCTCAAACACATACACTTAAGAAGAATAAAGACCATGTGCCTATTGTCCAACAACAACAGTCATCAACTCATGGCTGTTCTTATTTCTCTAATCCTAATTCCCAAAACTGGATTACTTTGAAGCATATACAAGATATTCTACAACATATCCATGTACATTTCAAGGTGTGTCTCTAAAATATGAGGTATATTACAGTGCCATTAACACCTTTAAGCATTAGGCCTTGTCAATTATTTTCAGTTTATATGGAATCGTAGTTTTAAGCTTTACAGTAATTCAAGTTGTTGGACAGCAGGGGGCAGTGCTTTTAAAGTAGCTAACTAGGACTCCATTCTAGCACTATTTTAAGATTGTGCTTCTGAAAATAACCTTGAAAACTTGGAATCACTTTTGTGGCTGATCCTGTGAAGATATACTGATTAAACATTTTATGAGAGAGAATTTAACATCGATATTATAACTTGTTTTTTATTTGAATAGTCAGAAAATGGCATAGAATCCTTATCAGGCTAGACTTGTGTTTTCTTATAAATATATATAAGACACTTTTCCCAATGAAATTAGTGTCACATCATCCTAGCTTCTGACTGGAAGTTATTTTTAAAAGATTACTTTAAAAAGTGAGTATGGTTGTCTGCATCTAAGTAATAGGGCTGGGGGGAGGGGAGTTGTATATACACTTTCATCAAGCCATCATGGCAACATATTAACAAGCAGTTAATCTAGTGAAGTATGTATCCTTATTTATATTGTTTTTTCAATTTCTCTATAGGTTTGAAATTTAAGATAAAAATGGACTAAATTCTTAAAATATTGGCAATAATAAAATTTAAGAATTATATTCTAACTCATAAATATTCAAGAACTATTTTGTACTATTCATATGAATTATAGGAAGGGATTACTTATAAAAGCTGAACATTAATGTCTACTTTTAACTTCTTTCCCTATAGTATCTTTTGGCTATGACCTTTGTTTATTTCAAGAGGGCTAAATTTACTATAAATGAACACACCAGGATAAATTTCTTTATTGCTCTGTAAGTATACTTCCTTCTAAGTGATTTTTATGGTAGCTATTTAAAATAATAGGGTACCTTATTTACAACAGTTTAAAATCTAATATATGTTTCTTAATAGGCCTTCCTGTATAAAGGTTATATCATTTTACTTTCATAAGATGTTTTGTTTTGTTTATTAATCTTAAGCTGCTATATGTCTAAGATTTAGAATTTACTTGAGTTTGCATTTTTCAGAGTGTTCAATAAATTATCCCAAATTCCACTCCTTTAGAATTAAATGTTTTATTTTTTTTTTAATATTTATTCATACAAAACTGGGGTACAGGCCAGAGATGCGGAAGGTGAGAGGATTCACCAGGGACAGAGTGGGGAGCAGAACAGGCAGATCGACGAAATACACTGCTGAGGGGAGCAGGGGGCAGGTCAGGAGAGGTCTGCTGCACCATGTGGATTTCCTCTGTGGTAGATGGGGATAGAACTCTTGGGGAAGTGGCTTAAGCTTCTTAGTACAGTGCTTTAACCCTCTGCGCCACCAGGGAGGGCCAGAGTTAAATGTTTTTTTAAGGGTCATATTCTCTTTGAAATTTCCAATTAACGTAAAAATCATTATCATTGCCCTTTTGCATTTTATATGAAAAATGCTCTTGACAAACTTATTGTGGATTTGTCTGTTACATAATAGTTATTCAGATCTTACACCTGTAGTATCTGCTGCTTTATTTAATACACTGAACTTTGACCAAGGAATAATTTGTTTTTGATTCCTCACCTGACTTTTTATTAAGTTGTACATATTAGCTATATAATGTATTAAATGGTTCTAATGACAAAGTTTCATAATCTATAGGTATATATAGGCCAGAAGTCTGTCAAAATTGATGTAATTTAAGAATACCTATATTAGTCTCAAACTTTTCTACTCAGTACCTGTATATAATGCTGCAGTTCCCACTACAGCTGCTAGCACTGAATAAGTATTACTCAGCTTGCTTAATTCTGAATAAAAGAATATATCTTAAAACAATGATTAAAGGTGTAGGGGCAATGAGAGGATTCACCAGAGACAGTAGAGAGTAGACCAGGCAGATTGAGGAAATATACACTACTAAAGGGAGCAGTGGGCAGGTCAGGAGAGTTCTGCCACACTATGGCCAGGGATCAAACTCATGCTGCAGTGGCTTCAGGAAGCTTCAAAGTGCCGCACTTTAACTTGCTGTGCTATCAGGGAGGGCCCTATATTCTGTTTTTAAACTTTACATGTTTTGCTTAGTCAGCAAGCATGAATGGTGCTAACCTCTGTGTCTACTCTTTATTAAGAATTATCAGGGAGGCCCGCCCTTGGTGGCGCACAGGTTAAAGCACAGCACTGAGAAACTAAAGCCACTTCCACATGAGTTTGATTCCCGCCTGCCCCGGAGGTGACCACATGGCGTGGCAGACCTCTCCTGGCCCGCCTGTTGCTCCCCTCAGCAGTGTACTTCGTATATCTGCCTGCTCTGCTCCCCACTCTGTCTCTGGTGAATCCTCCCACTGTCCCTGGACCTCTGGCCTGTAACCCAATTCTGTATGCATAAATAAATAAATCTTAAAGAAAAATGAACAATAATGTAAGAAAATAAATACTTAAAAAAAAAAAAAGAATTATCAGGGATGGGGCCCTCCCTGGTGGTGCAGCAGTTTAAAGCACAGCACTAAGAAGCTAAAGCCACTTCAGCATGAGTTAGATATCCATCTGCCCCAGAGGTGATCCACATAGCGAGGCAGACAGTCCACCACTGCTCCCCTCTGCAGTGTACTTTGTCCATCTGCCTGCTCTGCTCCCACTCTGTCTCTGGTGAATCCTCTCACCACCCCTGCACCTCTGGCCTGTACCCCAGTTACAAATAAATCTTAAAAAAAAAAAGAATTATCAGGGATAGTAAAGTAAAAACTTACTTCACATTATTTCACAGAAGACATGTTTTGACTGATTATGTGATCTGAATGAGTTTAACAATGAGGTGCTTTATAATAAGGTTGCCTGATCTTCCTCAAATATTCAGCAAGATACTGATTTCCAGATGTCTGTATGGGAAAGATTATCAGAAAGGCTTAGAGGAAATAGTGCCCACATTCACCCACAGCTGGAAATAGTGCCTGCTACCACCAGCCAGACTAAAACCTTCATAATTTGCAGGGTATTGCATAGAGGACTCAAGACAGTTTTACCAAGTAGTAAGGGGTAATTAGGCTCATATGGAACGTGTTCTAGATCTGCCTAACAAATGATAAAACAAGATCTGAAAGGATCATACTGTTTCCCATTAATTTAGCTTTATTGCAGATCAAAGCTCAAGATTTATAAAAATACAAAAATATCCAAAACTAAAGATAAAATTTATTGTGTGTCAATTTTTGATCTGCATTTCTTTAATTATGAGTAAGGTTGGACATCTTTTATGTGTCTGTTCCTGTCTTACACCCATTTCTTTTTTGAGCTCTTGGTCTTCTTTGTTAGGTATCTGGCTAATACAGTTGAAGAAGATGAAGAAGAATCCAAGTATGAAATTTTTCCATGGGCTTTAGGGAAAAACTGGAGAAAATTATTCCCTAATTTCTTAAAGTTAAGGGACCAACTCTGGGATAGAATTGACTATAGGGCTATTGTAAGCAGGCGATGCTGTGAAGAGGTAAGATTTTAAAATCATCTGTAATCTGTCTTCTGTTTATGTAATTTTCCTTGTTTTTTAAATGTACTTCTAAAGTTTATTTTTTGTATGTGTGAGGGTAGATCATTAACCTTGATGTTACCACAAATACAACTTGTTATTACAATGATGTTTTAATTTTATTCCAGACTAATTAAAAATTATCATTACCGTTTTTCAGAGCAGCCTACTTCTGTAGTAAGCATCTTTATTTTAGTATGTCCCTCTTGTTTGAAAGATGGCCACTGTATTGGGGAAGGGTAGTATGTATATTCTAAATCAAGTTCCTAAAATTGAAGTGTGAACCTTTTAAATTGAAAATCATAACTGTTTTTATATAGAATACAGAAATGTTTTCTTGATTCCAAATTCTTAAAAATTAAAGATCAAACTTTAATTAAAAAATTAAAAGATCAGTAATTTAATGCTGATTTTCAATAGGAAGAAAGTTAATGTTTCAAACTAAGGAAAGGTGCTAACAAAATATTAAATCAAGCAGTGATCCAATAAGTCAATACTGACCTTGCTAGCATGACACAGGCTTAGGATCACTTTTCTGTTGATATTAGCTTAATAAGTGATTTTGTTCACTTAGGCTTATAAAGATTTATTTATTTATGTATACAGAACCTGGTTACAGGCCAGAGGGGAAGGGAGCAGAACAGTCAGATCAGCGGAGTGCTGAGGGGAGCAGCAGGCAGGTCAGGAGAGGTCTGCTGCACCATGTGGGTTACCTCCAGGGCTGGGAATCAAACTCATGCTGAAGAGGCTGTAGCTTCTTAGTGCTGTGCTTTAACTTGCTGTGCCACCAGGGAGGGTCCTACTCTGAGGCTTTAACAGTGAAAACTAATAATTTTCTCCCCTAATTCCAGACCTGCACATGTGATTTGCTGATCATATTTCATTATCTAGTAAATACCTCAAATTCAACATCCTAGAAGTTGAATTCCTGATTCCCTACACAGACTTCTAATCCTGGTCCTTCTGCAGTATTCCAAACATCAATAAATGGTAACTTCATCCTTCTAGTTGTTCAGGTCTAAAAAGTTGTCACCCTGAACACATTCATACCTTAAAAAATACACTTGCTAGTCCCGTTTCCTAAATATTTCCCCACCTCCCTGGAATACTGTTTCAGTATCCTACCACTTCTCACTACCTCCACCACTAAAAACCCTGTTTTGTCATCTTGCCTCAATTATTGCCACCACCTTCCAAATCGTCTCTCTCATAATCTCTTATCTAAAACCTATACTCTGTCCCTCATACAGCAGCTTGACTAAGGTAATCATGATTCCTCTACTCAGAAACCTCCACTGACTTCCTATCTCACAGGGTAAAAGGCAGTTCTTAAAATTGCCTGCAGCTCTCCTCCCTTATTTGTTTGACTTCTTCCACCTTTGTTCACTTCACTCCAGCCACGCTTGCCTTGCTGCTCCTCAAACTTAGCAAGCACACTCACACCACTTGTCAGTCCCATTTCCTGGGTACTTCCCCCTACCTCAACCCCTAGTATCTAATGTGTTTCACTTTGTCATTTATTCAGAACTCTACTTAAAGGTCACCTCAGACAAGACTTCTCTTTATACCCTACATAGAGTAGTATGTCCCTCAGTGGAATAGAACTGCAGAACACAGAAATAAATCCTCACATTTATGATCAATTGAATTTTGATGGTGGTACCAAGAAAATTCAGTGGGAAAGAATAGTCTTTTCAACAAATGATGCTGAGACAACAAAGTATATACATGTACAAGAATGAAGTTGGACCCCCTACTTTGTGTGTGTCTGAAAAACTTTAGATTAAAGATCTGGCTGTAAAAGCTAAAATCTATAAACCTCTTAAAACTTACAGGGGTAAATCTTCATGACCTTGGATTAGGTTTTTTATACCAAAAGCACAAGTAACAAAAGAAAATAAAGTCGACAACATCAGAACTAAAAATTTTTGCCCTTCAAAGGATGCCATCAAGAAAGTGAGGCAAACACAAAAAATGGGAAGAAAATTTTCACACAAACTGTATAATAAGGGACTTATATTTAGAATACATAAAGGTCTCTTACCATTCAATAATGAAAAAACAAAAATAGGCAAAAGTTCAGAGTAGATATTTCTCCAAGGAAGATAGATATACAGCTGGGCAAGACACATGGAAAGATGCTCACTATCAATAGCCACTAGGTAAGAGCCACAGGAAATAGTACTTCACACCAACAGGATGACTAATTTAAAAAGCAAGGATAAAAGTGGAACCATATGATGTGAATATGAAATGGAATTGTTGCTTTGGAAAACAGTTCTTTCAAAGGTTAAAATATATGAACATCAATTCTACTCCTGATTATATACTTCCAGGAAGTAAAAAACTGTGTCCATACAAAAGCTTGTATTTGAGTGTTCACAGCCACGTAATTCATAATAGTCAAAAAGTGAAAACAATCCAGATGTCCAACAACTAATGAATGTTCAAACAAAATGCTGTATGTTCATACAATAGTGTATTACTTGGAAATTAAAGGAATGGGTTACTGATATATATTACAGTATAGGTGAATACTAACACTACAATGTTAAATAGAAGCAAATGACTAAGAATCACATTTCATAGTTATATTTGTGTAAAATTTCCAAGAAAAAAAAAAGTCCAAGAGACAAAAAAAAAAAAAAATTAACAGTAGCCAGGGATATGGAGGTGGGGGAGGGAGAGGGAGAAATGTGTTAGTGGTTGTTTTCTTTGTAGAATGAAAAGTTCCAAATGTTCTAAAATTATGGTAATGTTTGTTAAATTCTGAATGTGCTTAAAGCCGCTGAATTGCATACTTTAAATGAATGAATTATATGGTATTTGAGTGATATCAATAAAACTTAACAGTAGTACCTCCCACTACTATGTGTGTTTACTTCCTAGAATTTCAACCACCATATAACAATATAGCATATTCTGTGTATAGCATATTCCTAATGTCTGTTTACCCTTAATGAGAATATAAATTCCAAGAGGACAAGGTCTTTATTTTGTTCTTACTATATCTCCAGTGCCACAAGAATGCCTAGCTTATAGTAGATACTCAGTAAATACTGCTGACAGAATAAATGGAACTTAGAGCATCCACCTCTTTTGCATAACTTCTTAGCCTTGAAATGGAAAAACAAAAAACTAGAAGTATTTCACTCTGCTCACTTTGTATGCCTCTTACTCTAGTGACAGACTTTTTTTTGTTGTTGCTGTTCCAGTCATTTGAGTTGTTATATATAAAAGGCCATTTTACCTAGTAGATTTAATCTTGTTCTCCTATTCAATCAGTGACTTGAGTAAGAAATGCAATTCCAGTGTTGTAGAGGTTATAAAGGAGTTTCCTCTGAAGTTTGCTGCATTAAAGTAGCAAGACATGCTACTAGAAGTTTAGTTAAGTGTTTTATGCATTGTTATTAAGAGCAAGGTGCTTGCATATTTTCAGCCAACATTTAGTCTTATATTTTAAATACGGATGTAATAGTAGCTACAAACTGGCTTTAAGTAGTAATACGCTACATTTGCATTATGTTTTCTCTTAAAAAAATAGCATGTAAGAGTTGTGGTATTCTCATAGCTGATAAAAAAGAACTAAGGAGGTTGAGGTTTCTCAAGATCATATGTCAATTAAGTGATAAAGCCAAAACTTACATCTAATGGCTTCCACCTCTTGCTTAGAAAATGCACATATATCTATTTTTTTTTATATCAGGAATTGTATGTTATCTCCATTTTACAGATGAAGAGACTGATTCAGAAAGGTGGTGACTTGTCCATGGTCATTCAGTTAATAAGTGATAGAGCCAGCCATTACTTAAATTCAACAATCTTTCCATTATACATTACTGTTAAAAGAATTTATTCTCTCCTTTCAGAAAACATTATGTAATGTCTTTTTTTCCCTTAATCTTTGCTGCAAAGTGTTTAGAATCAAGTTTTATCTTTAACAACATCAGCATTATTACGCTTTATTACTGGCATGTCAGTCCCCCACTCCCACACCACCTTTAATCAAATTTTCTTTTTTGGGCCCTAGTTTAATGAAATTTTTTTTTCATTTGCTCTTTGTCAGCTGCCTCAAATACTTTAGGAAAAGATGCGTTATGACTAAATTAAAAATAAGCCTTCTCCAGAATGAGTAAACTCCTTACTCTGATCTTCCCTCTTTATAGTTAACCATTTTGGACACTGTTCCTCTATGCGGAACTTATTTAGGCTAGTGAATATCTTACTTTCTAGGTTGGTACAAAGATTATGGAGGATGCTAATCTAATGAGAGTTAGACTCAGCCACTTTATCCATTTTAGAATGTAACAGTTTTATTAAGCAGCAGCATTTCTCTATTCCTGTTGTCTGACCTAGATGGCACTGTATCATACTTTCTCTGTCAATTACTACTTGGTTCCAGATAAGGAACTTAGAAAGCAGTGTTTTGAATGAAATAATACAATCATAGCATATAAGAAACCTAATGGTAGGGAAGGTGCTCCAAGCTGTTATAACTTGCTTTAGATGAAGATTATAGTAATGAAGAGTATCATTGTCATTACATAGTGGCCAGCTGGATATAGAACATATGAGAGAATAAACTAGTGATCTCAAATATATATAACAGAGTAGTGGATTTCCTAACAGAAATATGAAGGACTGAAAAAGAAAACTTTTTTTTGGAAGATAAGGGATTTGGTATTAGGCATGAATTTAAGTTTGTGATTAAATAACTAAGTGAATGGCCATTAGATATGAGTAAGAAGAGTCATCATTTATGTTTGAAGCTGGTAGAGAAGAGAAAAGATCTAAGGTGAAGATAATGCTAATTTTTTGAGCACTTGTCAGGCACTCACTGTTGAAAGTTCATGTGTATTAACTCACACTTCTTAGCACTAGCTAATCCCAGCTGAGAAAACTAAGGCACAGAAGATACTAAATAACTCAAGGTCAAAGCAATTAGTAAAGCAGTATTCAA